TCAATCGACCAGGTGTAGAGGATGGACGAATTACGCCTCGAATAGCACAGATGGGGGGCAGGGGTCTAGTGAAATACGTATACCAGGGAGATAGCAAACAGATTCGACGGGGCAAGAAGGAGACTTTGATAGGACCAAAGGAAGGACTAAGTAACAATATGACATACTCTGGTCAGCATTCTCAGCACAAGGGTGAAGGGGGTGAGAAAGACAGCGTGGATTGTGAAGGATTTTCATGAATGCCGCTTAAAAGTGCCCACCACACAACATCTAAATAAGCACTGTAAAAATTTGTGACAGTGAAGGCATGATAGGAGGATAAAGGAAACGTGAATAGCCCAGGGGAGATACCATGACTGTTATGCACACGTTTGGTCAAAGGATCGACTTCACTTGTCTCTTTGACGAGTTGTTGTGCGGTGCTAAGAATGGCGAGACTCACTGGCGATGCCGGCGAAACGTCTGGGAATGTACCACGTCCACGGTCCTACTCTGGAAATCATGATGCATACAATGTACTCCGGACTAGGTGCGTTCCTCTAAGTCTTCCTACAAATATGATCGAGTTGCGAAATATGGTCAGTTAGAAGCGATAGGGCCAGATGTCGTTTTAAGATTGAATTGGCGGAATAAATAGTCTTCATTTTTATCTTCTTTCTTTTTCTTTACAATGATATTCTATTTATTTTCTCTTTATTTAATCTTCACTTTAATAAGAATATTCTTATTAACTCTTAAAATTCTTCTTTTGATAGCCGGGGCAGCAGTAATTTTTCTTTAATAATTTATTTCTTAGAATTATGAAATCTTGACGTCTATAAATCCATTACAAGACTAAGGCTGGGGACTAGTTCATAAGGATTATATCTCAATCTACTGATTTTCAGGCAAATCATTGGCTATTAATTTCATTACAGCAATTTTATTGATTTGTGGCTTCTATTTTATGGGAATTTATCAATTATATGCCTCCAAAAATTATTATTTATGGGAGATAGAGACAAGTCGATTTAATTTTTCTTTATAGTTGTAGGCTTTATG